CTTTCCTGCCTATGCAGGGGGTCGGACTCGATGATCTATTGAGGTTCCTTCCGACCCTAACATCTACGAATCTACTTGCCAATTCAAACAAGACATCTTTGAAGTCTGTTTTCCCAATTAGTCTTGGTTATTTGTGCTAATGGCGTTCTCCTGTAGAAGTTTAATAATTAGGTTTTAATTATGTGGGAATCTTAAAACAGCAAGCACTTCATCATTAAAATAGTCCCATTCTCAATGCTTCCTCTCTTCTTTCTTCTGCACAAGAGAAACACGAGTCCACAGTCTGAACTGCGTAGAATTGTCAGGAGAGAAACGGCCGTGTTTCTCTTTAAAGGGACGGGGCAAGTTCACAGAACAGGAGAGAACAATTCTTGGCTCTGACCTTAGCTTTGAGCTTGTATAGTTCTGGGTTAAATATTCCTGCAGTCCTCTCTTCTGTCCACATGGTGAATATGTTTTGGGTACAAAGACTTCCAGGCTTGCTGTGCTATTTCCCAGGATACAACAAGAGCTGTAATTGTGCTGGTTCATGGCAGTTCATCAAGCAAGAACATTTTCATGGTGGCTGTCCAGAATCCTTGCTTTCTATTAAAGGAAATATCTCCAGCCCCTATGACTGCAAGGAAAATGATTATAATGTGATCTTGTGTAACTGATTCAGTGGCATCTCCCTGAGTCTGCAAACAGCATGGTACAGTGGCTCTGAGAGCCATGAATTGCTCAAGTAGATGCAGTGGGAATTAAGTGTGAAGTTTAACAAAGATGCTTAAAATGCCAATTCTGACTTTCCCTGCTTATTTAAACAAAGTGAGAAGGGGGTAGGATAATGGAGAGAGTTTTTAGGACTTTTAGTGGGGTTGGATGTGGGGGGTAGGGCAGGGGGAATGCTTGAATGCTTGATCTGTTTTCACAGAGTACCATTAAAAATGGAGTCTTCATGATGATGTTTAGTTGCACTTTAGATTAGAACTGTCTTTTCCCGTGTTGTAGTTTCACATCATCCCTTAGCAAGTCTGGCTTCTCTGCATGGAGTGCTAGCCTCCTGGAGAGGCAGGGCTTGTTTTGGGAGCTAAGGCAGGAGAGTAAGACAATCTAATGTTTGCTATTGGAGCATGTTCTAGGCTTTTGGTGTGCAGTCATTCCACAGTCACCAAAGTTCAACAGTTTCTCTGCCTTGTTAGTGGGGTCTGACTGGGTTATATAGAGCACAAAGGGAATGCTTAATAAAAGGTTCTCAAATGTGTACCAGTTAAGGGTTCCCTCAGATAGTCTTTATTCTTCCTTCTACCTGCTCCACAACCTACTTCATTGTTTTCCAGCCACATGCAGCCCCAGAAACACCTTAAGATACTGTATGGGCCCATATGAACATCAGCCAGTTACTGTGTATTTTGGGAAAAAGTAAATGAAAACAAAATTGTTAAACTGAAAGGAATGTTTCCATCCAAAGAAATAATATGAGATGGAAAGGAAATGTGGGATAGGGTTTTTTTAAAAGCACAAAGCAGCAATTTTTGCTGTAATTTTGCCAGCTGAGTCTAGATTTGGCAAAAGGAGGCAGTCCAGAGGGTCAGATGGAGGGTGCCAAGTGATGTTAGGAATGATCATGGTTTATTTTCCAATCCCTGTCTGGGGCTCAGTAATGTCTGTTTGTAGTTGATTATTATAATATAGATTTTCATCTCACTGCAAAGTCTTCACATACCACGGAGGAGGAAGGTACGCTGTGTGGTTGAGCTTTGGGCGAATGCAATTATAAAATAACCCCACAGAGTGGGGAAGACATCCCTTGATCCAGGGAAGCAAGTACATTTCTTTTCATGTTACTGTCGGGACCGAGGGTCGGTCTAAGGCTATGGCCAGTAGCCCGGACCGTCAGGTGGGGTTTTTCCACGACGGAGTAGAGTTAGGCACGGAAGCGTATTGGTTTTACAAAGAAAGCTTTACTTGCACTGCCGATGGTCACAGTGCAGGGAGGAAACTTGCTTGAGTTGCAGTTGCACACAAACAAACACAAGCGAGATCTCTTCCGAACCGCGCCGAACCGAGATGAGTCGTCGATGTACGATTCCACGAGCGCTTCACACGGGGGATACGTCAAATTTCCACTATGACGGGGAGTGGCTAAGAGCTGATCGGGCCTCTATGTCTTCCTCCAAGACACACGCGGAGTTTGCTAGGCTCCACAGCGCGCTCAGAGTTCCCCACGAGATGGTTGTGGAGTCCTCCAACTTGGGCGGAAACTGCTCTAACCTTTTATATGGCTAGCGAGCCAATTGCTAGCCGCCACATAGGAATAATTTAGAATTGACCAATAGTGGGACACTAATTTGCATGTGTGTGGCGGGAACTCTTTTGCTCCGGGGATTTCTCTCTGCAGCTGAGAAAGCCACCGTGCAAAGAAAGCTCCATGTGGCGGGAAAATTCCAATGTGCTGAGGCACTAAAAATCATTGGGTTATGACAGTTACGAGTGCAAAATATCTCTGGCAGTACAGTCTGTGGAGAGTTGTTGACTTTTATTGCTAGGGAAGGAAATGTCCATCACTTTCTTCTGACCAGATGAACTCCATGCCATGGCAGAAGCATGAAGTTAGAGCGAAGAGGTGATTCTTAGTCGTAATCGCACTAAATCCCTGGTGCTTGGTGATATGAGGAGTCTGAGGAAACCCACCCTAGAGAACTGAGCAGTTATCAGAAATACAGTACTCAAGTTACTGACCCTTTCATATTTAGAGCGTGTCTCCAATCACCTGTTCTTACTGAGGAAACAGACCATGCTTCTGTCAAAGTGGCTCATTGCTCTTAGGGAGCCCAGCACTGAATTTCCATTTCACCCAAATTCTCCATGGGAGCCTGCTTTCTTCAGAAGCTGGCTAGCCAAAGCACCATAAGAGCAAGTGCAATATCTGGTTTGTCTGCAGTGAACTCATGCGCCTTAAGCATGAGATTTAAATCACAAGGCTGTGGTAAAACCCCATGGCCAACCAGTGAACTCACTAACTTCTAACCCACAGAGAAACCCTCTACGTTGGCCACTTAGTTTGTTAAGCTGCAGCTGTTGGCATCTCTGGACTCAGACCT